TTTTTATGATGGTTCTTATTATTGGAATGCTTTTAAATTGCTGTTTTTTAGTATTCTTGCTTTATTTATCATGAACTGAATACCCACTATCATGACGAAATATGACTACATCAACTTGAGTTTTGGTAACATATTTCGTCATGAAACAAATTCGAAAAATTTCACAATACGAAAATAAAAAATTATAGTTAGTCAGGCTGTTTCAGCAATATTGAAGAAAAAAGTGAGAAATAGATACGGCTGGGGTAAACGTAATACAGGGTGTTTCATAATATATGACCAGAATTATCTTTCTTGTGTAGAAAACATTGGTGTTCAAATAGGCGACTCAAAACTGTACTTTTTCCAGTGTCGTAGAAGTTGAGGAGAAAAACGCTAACCACCCCTACCAAATCAATTATGACTTAAAAATAAATAAATTCCATACAAAACATAGCTTATTATGTGTAGAAAACGCTTACAATAGCTGTTTTCTGTGCGATAAACGGTTCCAGAGATATTCGCAAAAAACGATTTTTTTTCAAATTTCAACACCCTGTATCTCATAAATTTTAGAATTTTAGAGGGTAACTCAAAAACTTTTTTTCATATTTTTGAACGAGATATCACATCCTGAACTCCTGCGCATATATTATGAAACACCCTGTATATGTACCAGTTCAAAAATCATCGTAGCGACGTGAGTCCTGACAATTGAACAAAAAATACAGTACAGTAGGGTACTTTAGATGTGTAGCTTTGTAGGTGTCAATGCAAAAAATATAATAATAGATCGTTGCATACACTATTTTTTTCGATGGCCAATGAATTAAAAAAAAAGAAGAACAATAGTTATTTTTGTATCTAGTGCGCAAAATGCTACTTTGGTGATCGATAACTGATTTTTTTAACGAGGCGCAGCATAGGAAACTGAAAAGAAATGTCACTTCGCAAATTGTTATCAATGCGCGAACATTGTCATTTTTTGACGTTTGGAGAAAAACAATATTATATACAGATTGTGAGATACACTTTGCATGGCATTTTTCCGAAGTTTACCATGACCAAAAATATAAACGACATTGAATTGCTAACTAATCTTGTGATATTTTTCGAATTCGTATAGTGGTTGGCAAGCAACAGTACGTTGGACAGAACGGGGTGCAAATCTACGGGACGTGGTGCAGGTCGACGTCATAATTATAATTACCATCATAATAAAACTAGCATGTTACACATGACTAATGTAAACCTTTCTTTTGAGAAAACCGCTGTTGCGCACAGGAGATGAGATGCCAGGATCGTGGCTGAAACATTCATATAACCACCACATGCACAATGTTAGACTAAAACTAATCTAATCGGTTACCAAATAGAGAACGCATACGTGAAGGAAGAACGAAAGTGGCATGTGAGGAAGTGTTATTTGAAAGCACAGAAGATAAAGAAATGGTCAGAATGCCTCAGCTTCATTTATAAGATACATAATAGGTATTTCCTTTTGTGCGATCGAAAAGATGAAAAAAACATAGTGGTACCAATAAAAATAGGCATACTCGAGAGGAACTCATATTATGTTGTTGTTCAGTATTTGTTATATACTTCTGATACTGTCAATATTTTCTTCATTCATAGATATACTGAAAATAATGTCATTCATGATGATAGGTACAGGTGATTCCCTGAATTTTAATCTCTTTTAACTGATTCATTGAGAGAGTAAATATACTCAATGGATAAATGATGAAATAATAATATATCAAAGAGAATTAGATCGCTCCTGTTGGTCAAAATAATCCCCCTTGTTGTTAATAAAAGTATTATGCTTTTCCACTGACAAGAGATGACGATATTGAAGACACACGAGAGTCTTTGCACTCGTACCAATCATTTGTCTTTCTCATTACTAACATATTATATATTAATAATTTCACACCTCAAAAGTGTCCACAGATGGAAATTTCGTGACTTTGTAAATTAAGTTCAGAATTTTCAGCCTCACCAGTCGACGCTACTACCGTGGGGCGTTGATTGATATATTACGCTTAAGGCGTAAAACTCTCCGAATTGTAAAAGATAGTCCTGAAGGCTGAGACCTGTTTTATTTTATAAATTTATAGAAACACACAATAAAGTAATGAAGAATTGTAGTGGACGGGCACCATGTCTAGTAGGAATAATGATATGTCATCAATTTTCCTTTGTGTTATGATTTCCGGCTGTTATTCGCGATAGAAAATAACACGTTGCCCCACCTGACGGCAAAAACTTGAACACTTCTGAGCGGTCCTTTTGATGTGATGACCAAAACGCACAAACAAAAAACAAATGTGAACCAATGAAAACAAAGTAAACAGCTTTCAAGAACTCCGATAGATGGAGTACGCTTATTTTCTATCGCGAATGGGATCAGTTTTCGTTGTTTTAGTGAATTGTTGAGTGACAAAAGCGCTTATCAAGGTGATGAAGCTAGAAAGTCGGTTTTTATGCCCCATTTCTCGGATACAATTATGATTTTATAACAAAAATATACAAATATCTAGACCTAAGTGCAAATTGCACAGGAAAGTGTTATTTTTCAATCATTTTGCTCAGGTGATTGGCACAAGTGCCGTTCGATAAAATACAATGTTTTTACATGCCTTTGGGACATATATCATTTCATCATCAGATGACGTTCGAAATTTGCCGCCGGCTCTCCGACTAAATGTAGATTTAGATTAGATTTAGAATGGGGCCTTCGGGCTATCTGCCTCCACACCGCGACCTTTTCAGATCTATTGTGTCTGCCCTCAAAATCGATTAGAGTTCTTCGGCTAGCCCCGTCTTCTCTATGAGACTCCATAGGCTAGCTTTCAGATCCCCTGTGTATCTCTGGGCTTCTGGTTTTTCCTCACCCAGCGTAAGGAACCTTAGTCTTGACAAGCCCTCACAGTGGCAAAGTATGTGTACTGCTGTTTCCTCCTCTTCCTGACAGAACCTGCACAGCAGTTCTTCAGTCAGACCTATCGTACTCATGTGTTTGTTGAGCCTACAATGCCCTGTGAGAAGTCCCACTAGTATTCTAGTTGAACTTCGTTTCTGGCTTAGTAGATATTCTGTGAATGTTGGCGATGGTTTTTTAATAAACTCTTTTGCCTGTCTCATTCCTGGCGATTTGTTCCACCATTCTTGAGATTTGGTTTGCATCCATGATTTGATACTAGTCTTTTGTATAGCTTTCGCAATACCACAGAAGGGTTCTGGGCCATTCAGAGCTTTGTTTGCTCCTGCTCGGGCAAGTGAGTCTGCCTCTTCATTGCCCTCGTACCCTGTATGTGCTGGTACCCATGCTAGAGTCAGTCTGTTCTGACTGCCCAGTGCATTTAGGGTTTCTAAGCAGTCCCATACTAGTTTTGAGTTAACTTGCATAGAGTTGACTGCTTTGATTGCCGCCTGGCTATCTGAATAGATTGCAATGGTTTTGCCTTTAAACTCTTGCCTTATCAATTCTTTCACGCAATGATGTATTGCAATAATTTCTGCCTGAAACACCGTCGCGTATTTACCTAAGCTCAGTGAGATTCTTGTCTTTGGCTTGGCCCCATAAATACCGGCTCCTGATCCAAACTCAGTTTTGGAGCCGTCCGTATAGACAGCAATGTCTGCATTGATAGGAGGTCCTTCCTTCCATGCCTCTCTGTCCGTTATACTTATTTTAAAAGTTTTTTCAAAGCTATATTTTGGAATTATGCCATCCGTTGGCATTCCCATGATGGGGTCGCTTTCCAACTCTTCATATAGCTTTCTATAGTCTTTACCGTGCGCGTTGCTTATGGGTGCTTGACCCCTTGACAATCTACTCACGACTGCTCTGGCTTCGCCTTGAATATATATTTGTAGTGGTGGTAGGTTCAAGAGGACCTCTAAAGCGGCTGTTGGAGTGGTTTTCATTGCACCAGTGGCACTCAGGCAAGCTTGCCTTTGAATAGCACTGAGCCTTCGAATCACTCCAGCCTGTTGTGTCTTTGGCCACCAAACTACTGACCCATATGCTATCATAGGCCTGATGACGCTGGCATAGAGCCATGTGGTCATTTTTGGTTGCAGTCCCCAATTTTTCCCGCACATTCGTCTGCACAGATTGAAGGCTACTGTACTTTTTTGAACAATTTTTTGTAGGTGTTGATTCCATGTTAACTTATGGTCAAAGATGACTCCTAAGTATTTTGCCTCTAGGGCGAACGGAATTTCTACCCCGTTGAGTACTGGTGACTTTAATCCTTCCAGTACTCTCTTTTTCGTGAAATTCACTATAGTGGTTTTATGAGGGTTCACGGTGAGTTCCTCCTCTTTACACCAATTGTCAATTATGTTTAGAGCGATTTGTGTGAGCTCCGAGACCGTACTTGCGAATCTACCTCTAGCGATAACCGCCAGGTCGTCGGCATATCCTAAGCAATAATACCCGACTAAATGTAGCTATCACTGTATTTTTTCCCAACTTTCACTGTGTTTAATGTTGAGAAATGTTGAATATATTCATTAAATATATCAATGGCATGTCCTCGATTCACTGCCCATCATTCAGCAGAGGTATCTCCATCGATCAATCAATTAATTCGTGTTTGGAATTTTGGATTGTTGGAATATACACTGGTATTCAATAAAAAATAGTACAAGTATCAAAAAGAGAGGTTTACGTTATCATAGTTATAGTTGTGTAAAAATGGCTCAGCCAATGCTTTCTGTTTCTGAGAACCTATGACAATTTCACTGTCAACATTTGCTAAACAATCATTGCCCGTTTGACACAAATAGGATGACGTTAATTTCTATCTCTAATATAATTGTACGCTTTTTTTTTCAATACAACTGTACTTTTTCGTGATTGAAGAATCGCGGTATTACCTATCTATTGTTATGTAAGTCTGAGACGATGAGAACATGATAGGGATTCCCTTCCGTGCGATCGGATTTATAAGAGAAAATGCACTTCCTGACATCCACATTGAAAATCGATTCCTAACCGAACCACTAACCTCCTCCTCCTCGAGAAAGTCTGCCCGGGCAGCTCGAAGCACCCCCTGGGCAGCACCATACGTGCGTTGCCCTGGGCGGGCCTAGACCCGCCCGGCGCTTTCAACGCCGCCAAGTGGGCGGCATAGCCGTCGGCCAGTATCGTCGCTTGCGATTGCTGCTTCCTCGTCGTTTTGCCGATGATGAAGATCTGATTGGCCTTGAGGCCCACGGACGAGTAGACGGTGATGTCTTTGGCGCTGCCGTACGCCGAATGGATGACCACGCCGTGATTCTGATCAGATATAAAGAAAATGCTCGAGTCTAATTCGGTAAGCTAACTTGATAAATACGTGAATCACACTATTGTTGATGGATTTTTCAATTTCTCCATGAAGAGACTCTCCAAATCGCGACATTTCTACAGATTAGATACTTTTCTGGCAATGCACGATCGAGAAAGATTTACATAAACGCCATCAAGATTCGTTCACAATTCTGGGTGTCAGGTTCCGTTTTGTCATATAAAATGAAGCCAGACTATTTGTCTCAAATGAACATATTATAATATATATAATATAAACAATAGAGAAAAACCCAAAGTCGTCCCCACAATTTTCAATGTATAATCAGGCAGTCAATCCTGCTTCATTAAGGTTGATACATGTTTCGGCCATTCAAATGGCCATCTTCAGTCAAAAGAATATGACAAAGTGTATGTGGAAATTACCTCAATGCATCGTGAAGGCGAAAAAATTATTACCTAATCATCATTTATTATTTGTATTAATATTGGAATTGGAGTGATGTAAGAGGAATTGGAATAAGTTTATTCAGAAACGTTTACAAAATTTACATTGGAACATGCAGATAGGTATTTTGAATAAACTGGGAAAAACCTTACTAAGTGTACCTTGTAGTGAGAATAAAAAAAAACGAATGTACATAGGTCAATAAATATTTAAAAATATTGAATTATCACCAGGGAAAATTTGTCTCATTAGGAAATGAGACATCATGTATATAATTCATATATAGTGTACTGAGCATTTCATTCAGCAATTCACATGATTATTTATATTTATATATACTTATTCAAAATTATTATTTAGATGTTTCTAATTATATTATTAAATGTTAATCAAAGAGTTAAAATCATTTTCAGGGGTCTAATATCCAGTTTTTTATTTTTATCGTATAGGATTGGAGTGATTTTGTTTTTATATCATTTGGAATTTTTTTATATACGTAAGGAATTAAAAATTTATAATTTCCACGTCCACCACGTCTACTTGACTTGTTTGTTTTATATTTCAATGTTATGTTATTTTTATTTCTTATGTCATAGATATGCTCTAAGAACTGAATGTTGGATTTTTTTAAAAATTTGTTTGCTCTATTTTTGAAATAATGAGCAATTACAAAAATGAAATGAGTACGCCTCTTTATTATACGTGGAAAGTTATATATGGCCCCGTGCTCACCCTGCCGATAAGTTGAAAAGTAACCGAGATACGGAAGGTGCTAGAAAAGTGAACATTTTAATTTTCGCCGTGCATCTCGAAAACATGAAGGACTGTGAAAATTCTGTTCCAGGCATCATTCCTTTGACAAAAAAGTAAGGCAGTAATGTAAAAGCTGCAACACTCTATCTCCAAAGATAACTGAGATATCGCACAAAAATGAAGTGCATTTGATTTGATTATGAATTCGAAGTGAAATCTCATATTTTTTTATATTAAGGTTATACCGATAACTGAGCATTCGAAACTTGCTAATGGCTCATTGCACTCACCTCGATCAGGTTGTTCAGATAGGCTGCCTTATGGCCGAGAGGATCCCTCGACAGACCGTCAGCGAACGAGGTCAGACCTTGGGGGAAATTGTGTTGGGACAGCCAAGAAACTATGCTCCTACGCTGCATGTCCGGCCTGCCGGTTATGTAGATGAGGAGGTATCCCAACTCCTGCCAGTGGCTAAAATATCAAATGAAAAATATTTTCACCTGTAATACCATTAGAGGTCAAATAATTTCCGGAAAATTTTTCGGGCTCATGGATATTTTGAAAATTATTCCGAGTCGGAAGATGATTTTTCGAAATATTCATGAGCTCGAAAAAAATCCCGGACATTAATTTGACCTCATTTGGTATTCGGTAAGAAAATTTCACACCAGATTGTGTTTGCAAATCAAATAATTTCAGGATATATTTGTTCATTTGATATGCATACCTCATTCTACCTATTATATTTCCATGAACATACTAGTTTAAAATGTAACATATTATATTCTTCCATATTATATCAACTTCGGGATACTACAAGTGATAAGAAATTATAAATTTGTCAATTAATTTTTCATATGTATAGGTGCATACTAGTAGTAGTAGAGAAAGGGGAGGCGGTCGCCTAGCAAGTAGGCCCCAATGAGCCTTTTTTGTCGACCCCTGCTGCACACGTCATGTGCACATAATATCTACTATTCCTTCTCCTAATTCTCCTTTTCGAACCTCCGTGGATTTCTGATTAAGGTCAGTATGTCCGTCCACCTTAGTAATTTGATCCTCCTGTTGGAGCGTATCAGTACAAGAGATTTCGAATTTTAGCCTTCCAATAACGCCTTACATTGGCCCAGGTAGTGCTATGACATTCTATATAATAGATGCAGTTAGGGTATCAATGGATTCTTAGCCTATTAATTGCATATACCTAATAATAATCAATACGGATAATCTCTATCTGTTTCCATAGCGAAACATGAAGCCGATTTTTGAAGACAAATGACTATCCATAAGGAAAAGTGAGATACGATCAGATACATACTGCTTTGATCGAAACGCATGTCTTTGATGACTACTATAATAGCGCATGGCGCATGCGTTTCATGCCACCAAATCCTTATGGATATTCATTTGTTTCATATTTTTGGCATATAATTTTGTCATTAAAACGTCATAACAAAATTTCCGATTTCATACGCTGGTGGGTACCCACGAGAAAAAAATTTCCACTAAAATACATACTTTGCTTTGGTAATTAGTTATAAAAACTCAATTTAACTGTCCGTAGGACGAGTAATTTTTTCTGGCAGTTATTTTATTTGAATTACCTAATGGCAACAAAATTCGAATTATAAATGCCAAGTTGACTTCGACTAAAAAAAAAAGTAGTGTAATTCGATGAGACAATTTAATTCATCAAACATTTGTTTATGGCTGGTTGTCATGCAAAAGTTAGGTTCCGTTATTGTCGCTGAAAAAGTTAGGACAAACCTTTTTTGCTGTCATAATGAAAAAACCACGCGGCTTGTGGGATTTTTCATACATGAATTAAATTGTCACAAAAAAATACGGGGACCGTTTGAAAATGAAACTGAAGAAAGTTTGACCAACTTTGAAGTATGAAATCTGAATACTGAAGATTTGATGTTTATTCTAATAAATTTCAACTATTGAAAATGTCTTCTGCGCTTCTTAGTAAATAATCACTGATCTCTGTAATTGCGTCAGAAATAGCGAAATAGCCAACTAATGTCTCACAACAAATATAATGTAAATTCTGCTGTTAAACCCTTGATTATTTACACTAACAAGATGATCCGCCTCAATGTCAAATGTAAAGACAAATTTGGTCTCAGTTCGTGGCTGGTTCGTAAGCGGTGCCAGCAAAATATGGTCGATTTGTCTAAACTCTCGGAATCTGCTCGAGTCCACCTATCTGCAAGTCGCTGAATTATCTGGGAATATCCTCTTTTCGGAAGCAGGAGTCACTAACTTTGATATTCTGACATCCCTTCTAGCATGAAAACATCGAAAGATAACCTTCTGCATTACCGATCTCTACTCTTCGCTACTCAACAAAAAGTAGTTCACCTTGTCGCTCATAGACACCGTCACCTACTGGCTTCATTGCTCTCATAAGGATGGTTCATCTTGTTAGTATAAATAAATACACTGAGCACCAAATTGTCATCTGTTAAATACATCATTGATAAAAGCCGCGAGAAGCACACAAAGGCGCAGGGTATATGTACCGGGTGAACACCTAAGAACGACTATCATATCTATCATTCTTCAAAACTTGATCGTTAATATCTTCCGTTGGCGAACAGCCGGTTTTCGTAGGTCTGTTGAGATCTAGTTTCTCTATTACATCGTGTGATGATATGCATACCATTAGATTTATTCTATCTCAAACTTGTATCATTGCTGTATTCGTTGCTGAGATATGGCCGACAGCCTTTCTTAGTTGTTCACCCGGTACATAAAATGTGTTTAGCCGTTTCATCCTCCTCCATGCATAGACGGCACTCTGCATCTTGTGCAAGTCCGATTTTGTGCATGTGGTGTTCGAGTTTGTAGTGGCCACTGAGCAAACCTACTATAATTCTGAGATGTGTTCTACTGAGTTCTAGTAGTTTGTTCCTTGTACAAGCAAAGAATGCTTTGGAATGGGCTAGGCCCAGTAGACTACGCCAATACTCGCTATGTGCTATACCGATTACCAGTTCTGGCCCAGTGAACGATGTTTTGGCCCCCCCTTTTGCTAGGACGTCCGCTATTTCGTTCCCTTCTAGGCCCGTGTGACCTGGTATCCAGACTAGTTTAACGTTATTGCGTTGTGCCAGTCGGTTCAAGGTTTCTCTGCAGTTCCATACTGCTCTGGATTTAAATGGCTCTGCATGGTTGTCCAGGTCTATTGAGTAGGAAGGTGCTATGTGGAAAAGTCTTGGTCGAATATACCAATGGCGTGATCACAAAACAAGAAATGAGCAGCAGAATAACTTATCAACCTTCACAACTGTGTACTATCAACAATCATAGATAACAGAAATGTTCATATGTGCGATCGGTTCTTAGACGTTGAGGGTTTTAAGGCACCCATTGTCTAGGGATGATGATGATTCTGTTACGGTTTGTTTTTCATACTTTGATTTGTACAAATACAAAATGGTACTCATGCAAATCTTCTGGCTAAATTATAAATTTTGTTGTGAGTGATTAGCATTAGAACTCCAGAAAGTTTGAATAATTTTTGTGAGTATTTACCGAACGACATCCACAGCTCCAGCTCTAACTTTTGGATCTCTACCAGTCACCGACACGCTGGCGGTGAAAGATCCATCGATGCTGAATACCACACACTCGGTTTTAGGTGGCACCACCGCCAAATGGAAATCCACTGAGGTGTGATCTCCTCTCACCACCATCTTGAACAAAATATATCAAATCGTCATTGAATTTTAAAACACCGAAATGTAAATATGTTTTCTTGAAGATATCCACACGACGAGTAACTGGTTGAGGATAAACAATATTTCAATGTGAATAAAGAGAAAAGTAGGTTGAGATGACACATTTGTTTCAATGTCAGTGAAACTGTTTCAAGTTGACTGTTGACTGTCTTTTTTGAATTAACTTATCTTTTTCCGAATCCTTCAGAATTGCCATTGTATCTCATATTAATCATTTCTCCTAGTGTTGCTTGTTCTCTATTAATTAGTTGGTTTGTATTTGTTGTTATTGATTGTATTTGTAAGTAGGCACTTCCAAGTAAGTACATTAATTTGTTCATTTTCTTTAGCTGTTGTACTTCTACGTGCTTCTACCAAGTTTATATCTTCTAGTAGTTATTATTTTGTTTGCCCATTCTCAATATTTTTTCTATCTAGTGCTTCTTTTATTTTGCCTGCTTACCCAATGATGTGAGTTTTAGGCAACAATGGGTACACGCAGTATTCAATCCATATCGAGGTGAAATATTCTTCTCAACTAATCAAAAATATAAAGGGAAATAGCAGCCCCTGCTTGACTTTCATGTCATAAAAATTCAAACAGTAACGTTTATATCACAACACTGACGAGTTTCATCCGAGGTTACCGCAGTTTCTACTAAAACTCAAATAGGCATCATAAATAGAGCTGATATAGCATTTTGTAAACAACTTTTTATTGCTTCCATTCGAGTGTAGGTAGATGATTTTCATATATGATAAATATCTTTATTGATAATGTTTCAACCTTGAGTTTCAACATGAGAGATTTTTATTTACAAACTTGACAGGCTATGCTTGACAGGAACATGGGACATTTTTAGGTTAGGAATAAAAAATGAGCAACTTAGCTCATCAAGTATGAACAACTTAGCTCAATTAGGGCGGTTTTGTCAATTGTTTCTTCCGATGAATAGACAATATTATACCTCTAACCTACTAGCTAGCTTTTCCATTTGGATCGACAATGGTCTCACCTTTATCGGGTACAAGCCATATCCGAGTGACTTATCTTCAGGTATGGTGTATATGACTCTTCCCGTCTTGTCGGTGACCTCCGTAGCCAGGTGCGTCCATTCCCCTTGCGGAGCGTCCTTCATCACGTAGACGTCGACCTTTTCTCCGTTCAAGGTCAACACGTACATCAGCGGACCGTATATGAATCGTGCGGTGACGGTCTGTGGCGCGCCGTCTAACACGATGACGTCATTAGCCGTGTGGTTCGCGGCGACGTTCTTCAAGGAAACAAAGAAAAATGAGATCGTTGTTAACCCAGTTACGCCTACCGTCCTTTCAAAAGGACGTCAAAAGGAAACCTGCATTTTTCTGTTTCAGCTGACGGTTTGAAGATGTGGCCAGTGTCACATTATATTTAGTTAACATCTTAAACAAGAACAATCGGAATCGATAGGATGTTGTTAAGTTTTATATCGATAGTGACGGTTAAAAGACGCTGTGCTTCTAGTGATTTTGCAATGAATGACTCAAGGTAAGATATGTTGAAAATCGGTTATTATTTCGTTGTTGTTTTGATTATTTTTAAAAAATAACATAATATGTTTACTTTTTTTATATATTTGGTAATGTTTCACATTTCTCAAGCAATCCAGGGGCGTTCAATTGAACAAGTCCTCTTGAAAGAATTATATGCTACTATGCGGTTTTTTATTGCAGGTATTGGAAAAAGCCAGTAACCATGGCAGAGCTCTCAGAGGAATTCGATAATGACTCTAAGTCGGACATTCCTAGAGGCATTATAATTTTTTCACCCTAAGTACCAACGAAAACTGCGATACCGATGAAGATTATGGGGCGGAAGACGATGTAGTTCCAAATATAACCCGAATTGAAAATTGAATTCGACGTGGAAGGTGATGACGACTGGGACAGTGATGACGATCTACCACTGTCCATTTCTCTGGAAAGGCAACCCAAACTCAAAAAGAAGTTTGATTATACTCTCAATGAAGATTTGGATTATACGTTTATGAAATGGCAACCAGTTCAAACTGCACAAAGCAATCGTTCCCCTGAAAATATTTTCAAGCTGTTTTTTTTATGGAAACTTGGTAGGAGAAATTGTCAATTTTAACAATATTGTTATTATCAGTGGATATACATCTGTTTCAAGGCGACATATGTATTGGCAAAATTGTAGCGATACCCAGAATAAATTTATATCAGCCGCTATTTTCAGATATATTTCAATACATAATGAGTAATCTTCATTGCATTCCCTTAATTAAAATGACAAGTACTCTAAACTGCGTCCTCTTTTCAACAGCATAAATAAAAAGTTTTTGAATATTCCGTAGTTGAAGAGAATCACAGCTTTGATGATGCTAATGCTCCCGTATTTCGAGAGACATAGCGGTGATCAATTCATAAGAAGCAATAGCCTATAAGGTGGGGGTATAAATTTCGAGTAGGTACCCTAACATCACATCTCTGTCACTTTTTTGATGAAAATTTTGATAAGCGTTTTGTAAGATATAATATAAACATATTTTCTAACAGTAGCCATTTATCCTACCGCCCTTTTAAGAGGACCGCTGTTTTTTCCAAAACTGGAAATCGAAAATTTTTTTCATGATTGTTTCTCGACTTATTAGACCTTCTATCAACCATTTTTAAGAAAGATATAAAAAAATCGGAAAGGGGCCAAATGGGTTAATGGAAAAGCTCAGAGTTGCTTTTAGGCAACCACAATCGCGCTATCCTCGTTTTTTTATGTTCTGGTTCCCACGAAAAGGGATATCCTGTAATGTTCAGAGAACTTCGTGAGAACCAAGGGAAATAAAGTAGGAATTGGTGTTATTCTTAAATTTCTGGAGGTTATATGCCTCGGGGAATACCTCCCTTGGCGATGTGTTCCAGAGCCTCGCTGTTCGTTGGATAAACGAGACTTTGGAAAGAGATGTTCTGCAGGTCTCCAAATAGCTCATTCAATATGTTTTAATCATCCCTGATATAAGATTAGTATCATCTTGTATATTTTTTCAAAATCATTCATGATATCAGGGCTTTGAGCAGGGCTCGTATTACTGGAGAATAATAAGTAAAGTCATACCTTTAGAATGACAAGTAATAGGAATAAAACATTTGTGAATTTTTCAGTTATTCAATAATTATCTGTAACCTTTGAGTATTGGTGTATACTTATCACGGTTGTAACTTACGTTTTTTCGGTAATTTTGTTGTATTTTCAATCGTTCCTGGGCACAGGTTTACAATCATTTTTCCAGCAGTAAGGAAATCATTATTCATATTCGACATTGTGAAAGACGAACAGCGAGAAACGAAGTCAAAACATGATAATCAAGACGTTAAATAATACACCCCATATATCTGACATCAAAACCTCGCGAGTCGTGTATCATTCCGTGAACAATACCAAATTTATATAATCAAAACATAAAGTCACTGTAAACATAACCTTGTAAGTCGACTTAAGAGATTCCTGGATTTACTGCCTGGCAAATAAATTTTACTAGGTTTTGATAGATGACGCTATGTGTCCCTAAAATTGATAATAGACTTACGAGCTTCTACAGGCTGAAAGATTATGAGTTTTTGTTATGTTTTCCGCATAAAACGTTGAATCGGAAAAAAATCGATTTACGAGGTTTTGCACCTTAACCATCGACAATTACCTTGAGTTTGACCGACGTCCTCTTCCTCATCCACTTCTCTCTGGGCTCCCCCGATAGGAACACCTGCTCCCTATCCAGATCGCCAGGAAAAGCTGTGACCTCGATGCCGCCGATCTGGCGCAGCAGGAACGCTATCACGTCGCTGCTCTCCCAGTAGCTGGCGTGGAAGAGATGCGGCAGCGCGTTGGTGGGGAAGTTCGAGATGCCTTCGGGGCAGTACATCGCGTAGTCCATCCGTTTGCCGCCCCACCATTTTTGCTGCACTGGAAATGGCACGGTGGAAACGATGAGAAAACTTGTGATTTATCACCTCACATTTAGGGCTTATGACTTATGGAACACGGAAATATCATTGGTTATATTATATTCAGTTTTATGTGTTATAAAACCAATAATCATTAGGATTTATAATTTTCATTCATCTTCTAGAATCTTATTTATTATAATAGAATCCACTATAATCATGTGGACGTCGCTGTACTCCCAGTAGCTGACGTGAAAGAGGTGGTCCGAACAAAAATTCCACTCGATTCGATTCTAATTAAAATTCGTATCTGGGGGTATTCGGGGTCGGAGATTATGATTCTTTCGTCAAAATTGGGAAATTCAAGTGAACTAAAAAGGAGTAGAAAATAAATGGTAGTTTGAAAAATTAAAAAAACACGCTATTATAGATAGCCAAACTAAAAAGAGTACAAAATAAAATAATAATAATAGTGTGTTGATGAATATTCAACTGAAAAAATATTTTCTAGAAATAATGTATATAATAAAACAACATTTGTGGGGTCAGCTAGTTTTTGATAAAGAAAACTCACAATCTTCTCGATAACTTCAGTATTTGATATCAAAGAAAGTTATGGCGAAATGACTATGGGAATGAATTTAATTCCCAATTAATTTCCACGCCCATCTATCATTAATAGTGAAGGCTAAAGATGAATTAATGTCTATTCGGAACATGTCCCAGAAAATTTTCCCTGAAAATAAAAAAATGTGGAGTGTGTTTCCCTCAGTTACCACGAAATTTCAATTTTTGACCATGGAGTTCTACCAGGAGATGGAGGTTATCAAAGTGTCCCTGTAATAGTGGTAGAAAAAGGGAAGTCAAGAATCTAATACTATCCTCACATCCGAGTTTTTTATTGTGCTTCTTTATGATTTATTCATTCTATTTGTAGTTTCTTTTATTACTCATAGATGATTGAAATCAAGAAGCCTTATCTGAATCTGCTTCAAATCTCTGAGTAATGAAAGGTCGAAATTTTCAGATACTAGATATACAATGAAGCTCCTAAGCTTCAATTTCAATATTGAAGCTTAGGAAGATTCTAACGATTCACGAAAATCACTACCCTGTAAATAGATACTCATCAAATAAAAACCAGTAGCCAAATGAACAATAATTTGAATATTTTCTCGAAACACTGAACTAAATGCTTAATCTTCTCCTGAAGATGCTACCAACACGTGTCGAGGTGTAAAAAATTTGTTTGGTTAGTGGTAAAACAGCGTATAGTGTATTAGCGTGCCAAAGGGTCCAGTTTTCGATATAAAAAGCATGTATATGTAAAAAATTAAGATGTTAATTGCTCTAAGAACCAAAATAGATTATAATACTCTATAAGTACCTACCTTCTAATATGAATTCAATAATTTAGACAAAATTGTCAAGAAAATTATATATTAGTGAATGATTCAACAAACACACGAAATTCCAATTCAATGGACAATTCCCTATTATGTTAAATTGCACTAATACCCAATTCAGGCAATAAAAAACGTTAAAATATATTTCATTGTTAATTACCAACAAAAAATGCAGTGACTATTTTTAGAAAATACAAAAAACCCTCTGATACGATGGTACCAAACTTGATCAGTCCATTGAATAGTATTATTAGTAATCAGTGTTAATATTCTTTTGGTCAACTGAAAAAAATGATTATTCAACACTATAAGGAACACTGCTGCATCTATTTTCAAACATAACCTAATCAAATCCAACTTACAGTGAAAAGCCTGCAAATGACAGTATTTTCATGCGTACGCATTAAATGAATGAATAATGTCAACTAGTCGTTTCTATATTGTTGAATAATCTCCAAGATATTCTCGGGCAAAAAATCTAAAATGTTTGGTATTATAAAAAAATGTTTAAAAATGTAAATCATAACCCTCATTATCTGTAAGCATGCATAGGTTGGAATAAACCCACTTCACAGAGGATAAAAAAACTATTACAGTCGTTTATTAAGCTATTTTTGTGTAGGTATGTTTGTTTTTTACAATGAAAAAAATACATAAATTTATGTTGAAGAGTTGTGTTCATGCTGTTTAACAATAAATTCATACTTACAAGCATTAATAGCTTGAAGGGGAATATTGTCTATCAGTCCGGATACCGTACTCTGTATCGAGACCTCTGACAAACGTCTATGTGGCAACGAATCGCTAAACATTTGAGGGCTAGATTGGAGAATTTCGACTAGAAGATTACAATGGAAAACGTTAGTACTACATGAATGGAAAACAAGGTTATGGAAAACATAGCTTCAACTCTCACAAACATTATTTCAGCATAAAATTGTGATAATTTATTATAAGATCAAATATTTTAGAAAGAAAACTGTAACTAAACATTTCCTTTTGGAACATTAGAATTTTCTGGGCTTTATTGAAGTTTGTTATAAATTTGGCGCAGTCGGTAGGCTCAATGAGAATATAACTATGTTTCAATGTAAGATGGAATCAAACTCTCATCCATGCATTTCTGAGAAATACGTTGGTACAGAGAAATATCTTCAAGGAGTGAATTTTACAAGAAATTGAAAGTCATTCAAATTCCATCCTCTTATGATTCGTCTGCACAAAACTACTTCCAAGATAACTGAAAATGTTTGTGAGAAAATAAAGCTCAATACACCACAAAAGAAACCCAAAAGCTATGATATCTCGAAATCAAAATGCAACCAAATTACCACAAAAATTGCAAATTTCTTACGTAGATGGTACGGCTGACCATTTCCGAGCGGATATTTGGCATATCTCGAAACATTGACAGGCGGAAGGATGGAAAACCTCGCCGACAAAAGAGGCTCCAACCTGGCAGCTACAGGATCAGTTGGATGGAACATATTGTATACTTGATGACAAGCTGGACGGGTTATGTTATCTAAAAATAATTGTTTGCTAAAACCGATGGACCTGTCTCTTGTGGGATCTGGAATGATTGAGACTACCTACTTAACAGTCATTTCTACAACTGCCATTAATTACTCAAGTGGAGCGAATATTGTTAAGATTGTGATATATGATGCTGTGAATGAAAAGTCTGAGGCGTGTTCAAAAATACAATAGATAATTTCGTTACATTTCTTTTTTGAGGGCAATATGCAACTCAGACTCGAGAACCGATTATTTATCGCTATGACTAAAATCAAGAAGTTATTTCTAACCCCATCAGCGTTATCAGCCCCAAAGTCCCATGAGGTTATGTCATATATTGGTTGAATATACTGGTAGCGGATTGTCACATTTATTGTTTCAACTTCTGAATTATTTACCCTACTTATGTTGATGGATATCACGTTGTTGTAATGTCATTATTGAGAATCAAGGTTATATTACTAAAATAGGTACTCAAAAAAAAATTACATCGATCATCCTGCGATGAAATTTTTCTGTATGCGAGAACGAGAGCCAGTGGACTTCCGAACATAAAGAAGTCCGACACATCGAACTCCAATTTTATTTGACCTGACTGGTCACTTGTTGACGAAGATCTTCTTCTAGGCGAAGGAGCTGCTAGATATCCCGATTCGTTTATCTGTATATCATCTAAAACAACAAAAACAAACAATTTAAAACTTGTTTCATTGTAGAAGGACGAACAATTGTACAAAACTAAGCATTTCGAAGAAAAAAATCTGTTTCAAAGAAGTTCTTCAGAAAATGCAGTAATCCTTCCCTAATTTCATAAAATTCATCTCATGAACATTGAAGATTTCATATTGTTACCTTTCAGTCCATCATTGTCCAATATGCTGTTTTCACTTCCACGCCTTGAAGCATATTTCAAGGTTCTACACAGAGAGTCATAAGCTAATATTGAGCCCATGGAATCGGCTACGAAACAAACTTGGCCAGAGAAACCTAGGCCTTCTTCAGACTTAACGAACTCTGAAAATAACGGTTAAAAAAAATCATCACCTCAACTGCCTTTGCTGAAATTTTGCCTACAACAAATACACTTGAAAAACAATTCGACACAAGAGTGACATCCTTCATTATTTACACTAACAAGATGAACCATCCTTATCGGAGCAATAAAACCAGAAATTCTATTCAGTAGAGGTATCATGGACGACAAGGTCAACTACTTTTTGTTGAGTAGCGAAGGGTAGAGATCGGTAATTTGGAGATGAAAAAATATTATATTTTTAAATACTGTCTGTAGGTTAATCGAGGAGGTGGTACATTCATTATTCATATTATTATATTTTTATTCAATTCTTTGCTACAAACATATTACATTGCATCTCATGTAAATATAAATATATTTTATTAAGATCTACAATGCAATAACATGAATAATCAGACAGATTCATATCTGTCTAGTATTATGTTCATGGATTTGAGAATTCCTAAAATTCTAAAATTCCAAAGAAAATTCATTTGTTTCTTCATAAAGTTGATTCGATGGGGTGTCATATGGAAGATGATACAGTTTTTTGAATGCTTTTTCATATAGTACAGATATTTTGTTGAAATTATTCTTGGAACATGAACCCCAAATATTTATGAGATAGTTCATTTTACTAAGGATGTGAGATTATATAACGGTATTTGCTATATTTGGGATTAGTTTTGGATATCTTCTTAGGGCGATATGCTTGTCCCATGTTAACTTTTCATCAATCCAAATACCAAGGTATTTAGCATGGGCAGTTGGTTTCAATCTTCATTTTTTAATCTAATATTCAAATCAATAGTTTGTTTATTTCTTGGATTGGAAGACAAATATTGTGTCTTATGAGAATTGAGGAAAAGAAGATTAGAGTATAGCCATTCTTCCATTTTCTTCAAATCCTCATTTATGTTGTTTTCTAAAATTACAGGTTTATTGTTTGCAAATAAAAGTACTGTATCATGTGCATATATGGCATAATTTCCTATTAAATTTATTTTTGAAATGTTTTTAATGTATAAAAGATACAGATTTGGGCCCAACACTGATCCTTGAGGAACTCCTTTGTTTATATACCTATAGTAATGCAGAATATAATCGAAATTTACCTTCAAATTTTTTTATTCTGAAGCCTCCAGATTAGCAAAGTTAGTGATTTTCTTGCTACAGAAAGAAGGCTATTCCTAGATAGTTCAGCAACTCCCAGATAGATAGTCTCGAGCAGATTCCGAGAGTATAGACGGCCATATTTTGCAGATTATACCTAGCGCCGCCTACGAACCAGCCAAGAACTGAGGCCAGATTTGGCTTCAACAGTTTACATGGAGGTGGATCATCTTGTTAGTGTGGATAATCAAGGGTGATATGATTTTCGATTACTACATTTTTCTACCTTGGTATGCTGCATTGGCTGCAGTGATTGTCCGTGACACGGCTTCATTGTAATCGGAAGTGGACGAGGCCAGAATCGGCATGGCTCCAATCGGAATGGAATCGTGAGTTATCTGAGGAACGTCCGTACAAGAGGGCGAAACATCGAAACTGTAAGGGCTGAGACTGGAACGAAAAACCAGGGATGCGATAAAAAGTTTGTGGTGTGTTTGTAAGTTTGTAGACCCATCAATTCTAGTTTTTTTCGAGATTTAGGGGTGAACAGTTACCTGGATAGTATACCTAAGCCTTCCGTGCAGATAGAGGGACAAGACACTAACTTAATGGCAATATGGCCTATCAAGGAAGGGTAATGTTGACGCATGACTGATTCGAAAGCACCACGAAATGTTGTTACATCGGACTTTTTTGCAGCCATGTCCACATTGGCATCTGAAAAAAAAAATTACTCAAGATAGTCTCGATCATCTGACAAAATAAGTGAAAGTTACAAGAATTCGGATCGTTACAATGTAGATGTTCATGCAATTTTGGGAAGATTCACCATGGTCGCTTTCTGTATAAGTGGATGACTATTAGTTCCGAGTAATTTTCAATCAAATTCAACTTATGTTTTCTCAAGAAAAATTAGGTGAACGTTTTGTGATGATTGAGTAAAAATTGTGTGATGATTACGTGAAGACTACACTAGTTTAATCTTCACGTTTTTTTCAATATGTGGATGAATCATCCCAATGAATGGAAAAGAAGGATATTTTGGAGAAATTCACCATCATAGAACATATTATATTAGGTAAAAATTAGGTCGTATCAGGGAGATTACAAGAAGGTTACGTTATTTCCTCATACTCCCGTTTGCCCATCACTATGTATGGAACTTCTTTTATTTATAAATTTTGTATTTTAGCCTGATGATGACTCCTAGGAGTCGAAACATGTAGCACATATGATTTGATTAAAATTTACTTGGAGCGAGACTTTGAGTTTGTTCTCTTAATTATATCTGTTTATTGATACCAGTTCGAATTTGGTAAGAATCGCAGGACTAATAGATGACATAAAGAGTGGGTGGAGGCGATTACAGTGAGACACGCTGTATATAAAAAACTTTATAGTTTTTCGAAGTCTTAGTTTTGTGGGCGAATTTGAACATTCTCCGTGATAGTCGCAGAGGAAGTATAGGCTTCTACTCACCCAATACACTACCGGCGTGCAGGACGAATATCAATACTGTAGTGTTACAAGGTTGGTGGGCCGGAGAAGCGGAAGGAGATTCGGGGCAAGAAGTCTCCAAGGAATTCAACTTGTCTTTTTGCTTAAGTCTTCTGTTTCCTCTCTCGCTGGCCACCCGCTGAAGGAATGAATGTGAAAAAATACTGTCATCTAAAACGAGAACAAATGTTGATTATATACGATTCAATTTTCGTGGATGCTTCACCATTTTTATCTACAACCACTGTGGGTGAGGTAGTTTCTGCATCTTCTTCTGTCAAAAGGTCCATTGAACTCCATTTGGACAAAGTTGATGATTCCATCCTATCTAAAAAATGTGAAAGAGTTTTTCAATTCTTGAAGTCGAGAAATTAATTTATTTTGAAGTGAATATCAAACCTTCACAATCGAAGAATTCTTCATCGGAAGTCTCAGAATCTCTTCCTAAACTTTCTATTCTCCAATTGGCAACTTGAAGGTCGAAACTTTTGATCGAAGATGAACTTGGAGAATGTAAAGTTCTTGGCTGTTGCCATTTATCATCCCTCCTAAAACACGAAACGATTCCAAAAAAATAATAATACCATTTCGGACACATACTTGACAGTTAACATTTCTTCTTCGGGAGAAAGATCAGCGTCCGAACTAGCAGCAGTTCGAATGGTAGGAATGTTCGAGTTTTTACAAAGCAGAGGGCTATCCTCTGCTACTTCTATGCTACCCAAGGTGGCAGCCAACGTTTTGCAAGGATCCTCCTTGGAAGTACTGTTATTCAAATTGTCGTCTTCGTCTACAAGCAAATGAAGAATATTGAAACATTTCCGTGATTTCCTCAGAGACAACGTGAATATATCCCTGACTACCGAAACTCCTGAAAAACCGTGTCAAATCTGCTGAAAACCAATCACAGACCGCCATTGATTTTCAACAACCCTACCCAGTTTACCACCACGAAATCACGTTGAAAAAACTCACGAAAGCGTCACGTTTCCACTACTTTCTCCTAACGTCTTTGTAGTGTTTCTTCTACAGAATTTTTCCCGTAACGTAACAAAAGCGTCACACATTCCTGAGGCTCTCGTGACTATGTTTCTCATACATTTTCCTGTCACTTTACTTCAGGTTACGAATTCCTAAAGCTGTCGTGACGCTTTCGTTATGTGTTTTCGGTGTTCACGTCACGAAAAGGTGAAGCAAACGTCACTCTCTCGTGACGCTATCATTACGTGTCTTCAAATATTTCCCATCTGTTTCCTCATTTTACTAAAACGTCACGCATAATAAATAATTCATGAATTTTAGATACCTATTTCATCTTCTATGTGTCCCATTTTTCTTTTCAGCGCCATCTGGGTTTGTTTCTCTATTTCTCTGATGTCCTCCATCGTCAATCCATGCCATTCGTCCTGCCAAGCCCATGCTTGTCTATGGGCCCTTACCATCGTCTTCCTTAGAGCTGCATCGAATTTGAATATGAAAATCATCACAGAAAACTACAAACTTGAGGTTTTTATCATCCAAAGAATGTTTTCTTTTACCGACAATTTGCGAAAAAAAATATAGAGCTCCCAGTTTCAATCAGTCATTCATCAAGAGTTCATAGTACTAAAATTCCTAAATTCAATTAATATATTTTTAGCTAAAAAATATACGGGAAATGTGTTCGACAGTTCTTCATATACATGAAACCGTTCTGATAGATGTGTTCAAATCGAAAATTAGGTCTGTTTGAATTTTTGCAATTACATTGCCTCGTTGGTCCCAGCACTGGGACCAAACGCCCCATAAGTCGAAACTTGTGCGGAGTTAGGTAAGTATACAAACACAAACATCCATGGCCTACCTAGGATTCGAACCTATGTCTCGGTGGGAGTCCCCATACGAACTCAGCTCATTCACGCTCCGACCACCGAGCCGCCTCAATTATGTCGAAACATTCCAAGGAAATAGGAAATTGAAACTCGAAGATGTTCAACCGCATTTTTATATGAATAGCTCAAACCCTGTACTGCAATGTTAACACTTAGAAGGCAATGCGATGACGTCAGCTGAAGTTTATGCAAATGTTAAGTGATAGTATTTTGAGAAACAAATTATGTCGCTTGGAAACTACAAGAGCGCATTTATGTTATGGTTAAGGAGGTTAATGGAACAATTTGTGAAGGGAAATGAACGAGCAGACACTCTGGCACGAAAAGAAGCATCAACGCCACTGATCGGACCAGAACCATTCTGCGGCCCTGAGAATTATTATTTCCAAGAAGACCATGATAAAGCTGATGGGAGTAACACACTGGCGAAGACTTCAAGGACTGTCGCAGGCCAAAGTTCTCCCCGGCAATTTCAACCGAGCAAGATCGAAGACACTGAATAACCCCAGCAAAATTAGTCTCAAAGCAATAACGGGATTCCTAACGAGTCATTGTAGACTTTGAAGAAAATCTAACGAAGCTAGGGTTAGAGGAGGTCAGCACTTGCAGATTCTGCAGGCAACATCCAGAAACACCCCATCACATACTGCTGCAGTGTTATGCTGTTCATCACACAAGATCGAATATACTGGGAGCATACCAGCTGACCGTGGAAGAAATACCACGAACAGATCCCCTTAAGATCCCCAAACTCCTGAAGGAATTGAAGCTTGAGGGGCTGATCATGGTCTCATTCGATTCAGCGTGTCATTTTCTACTCAAGAAGCGATAATTCGCGTGTATTTCCGCCGTTTTCTGGCACTTTCGGCCGTCTGAAGATGGCTCGGTGACTATATCGTACTGAAGTCTCAGGTGGGAAAATGAATATTTTTATTTGGCTTATTAAGAATCTGAAAAAAATCACATAGACTAATTTGATGTCGTATTGAACGAATCTTAGTTGAAAGTCCGGAAATTTTGGAAAATGGAGACGTAGTAGCCTACCGGAGCACCAATATCTCGAGAACTGTCTGTCCTATCGGGCTGATCATGGTCTCATTCGATTCAGCGTGTCATTTTCTACTTGAATAGCGATCATTCGCGTGGTTTTTGGCCGTTTTCTGGCACTTCCGGCCGTCCGAAGATGGCTCGGTGACTATATCGTACGGAAGGATAGATCTAATCAGGTCGTAGCGCATCTGTCATCATGCACATTTACCAATACCATTTACCAATCTGTTGAATGGACCCTGTTTCAATGAAGAATTTTATTTCATCATTTTGAGGTATTAACCGTAACTAGTCCACTGTCGTGAACAATTTCTTCCTCAGATGTCAATTTTTTAAATAATTATTGAAATTCACTATAATTGATAACATGAAAAGAGGGGGGAAACGGGTGACGTGATCATTCGTGAACAATCCAATGCAATCATATAAGTTTCGCCTTACGTATGCATTTTTTCTCATGACATGGGCAGAACCATTTATGATTGTCATTTTCATCAAAATAAGATTGCAGATAACAGAGAACACAACACACAACTGAAAAATCAGATAATCTGAGGATTATCTTCGAATATCCGTAGGCAATCCAACTGAGTTTAGAATGAATATGGCACCTGGTTGGCAGCATCTATAAAATCAATAGACTGATCTTGCTAGAACTAGATCTTTATTTGATTATATGACTTGTACTTCTGATACCAAACGGAATTCTCATATAAAAACGATTCATCACACATAAATAATTTCATTGTGTACCCACCAGCGCTCAGTTTGACAGGTCATTTGATTGCTCAAGGTGACGTCACGTTAGAAAGTTAGGTTGACTTCTTTTTTTCTTGCATTTCTGGTAAATATAGGCGTTACGCTGTTGCAAGGGCCAGAAAATATGAGGTTTTCTATTTGTTCAAATATTCTACATATTTTTCTCCGAATACTTTCGATAAGTGAGGCCACAGCCTTTAGGGCTACCCGGCAAAATTTTGGGATTTTTGACTTTGACATTGACATCACGTTTTCATAGCGCCAACTGGTGAGACTGAAAAATGTTAGCCCTCATTGAATGGACTGAACCTTGCTTTACGGATATAAATAGGTGAGTGTCAAACTCCTATTAGAAGAATTCGCTTTTTTTATGAAACTACCTGTGTCGTGGATGAACCGCTCGATCTTGGTCTGCATGCCCCAGTATCGGAACTCCACCTTGCACAGCTTGTACGCGCACATCAACGCCCTGCCGTCGGGCAGCGGCTGCTCCCTGCCGCGCACCGCTGCCCAGTACTCCTCCAGCCAGCCGGGGCCCAGTGGCCCCCTGCCGGATTTCTCAGACACGAAGTACTGCGGGTCCTCCTCTCTAACGTAGTCGGCGCCATAGAGTTGGTCTTTCACCACGTCGATCAGATCTGGAAAGAACGATGCTGATCATGATACAACTTTGGTAGTATAGTAATTGCCTTCAAAATAAGAAAAAAATTAACCACGCTCGAGAGAGAATGTACAGATGAGGAATTTTTTTGCACTTTTCTGCATGTACAGTGTGTCCAGTTTTCGATGCTTTTGCGTGATATCTCAGTTATCTTTCGAGATAGAACCTTGCGGTTTTCGCGGTCCTGTACCACTTTTCTGTGAAACTCAAGATGGCCTAATCAGATTTTGCATAACTGTTTGCGTTTATGAGATACAGGGCGATTTTGAAAATTTATACTTTTTGGACCCCCTCTATATCTACGAAGTTTCTCAGCGAAAATGCAAATTGGAATCTTATCCCATACAGAATTTTGCGCAGAATTCAGTGGCGCACTCAAATTTTTTTTTCTGGGTATGGTTTCGGAGATACGACTCAAACTTATGATTTTTTAAATGGAACACCCTGTATTTCATAAGCTCATTAAATTCCTTATTTTTTCCCCATCAAAATGAAATATGATGAATAGGTATAAAATTTTCAAAAATGCTCCAAAATCACTAAAACATTGAATTTTAATAATGGGCTATGGATTTTTCATTTAAAAAGAGTTCCAATTGAAGGGATATTTCATTTGATTCTTCCATGGAAAGGACAAAAACAATCCCAACACTAGTTAATCAGGATAACACAAAAATTAGGTACCTGATAGCAACAAATGAATGGTAATAAAAAGTTCATATTCTAGAATAAGCACCTGATTTAATATTCACTAAGACAATTGAATAGTAACTTATTCATTGAATTGTTCAAATTGATGTCCACTTTCCCTCACACGCTTTCTCAATACGTCTTAATGCATTCAAAATCATTAAAGGATGTCTTTGTAATTCCTGGAAAACTGCATCTGTTGTTGCACGAAGTTCTTCAAGATATTTGTGACTCTTACTGTATCAAGACGTATTGAGAAACTGTGTCAATTGTGTGTTATGGGAAATGTACATCAAATTGAACAATTCAGTGAATATAGTTATTGAATAATTCCGAAATTCAATTGTATTTGTAAATATTTGATCTGGTGCTTATTCTACATTATGAACTTTTTATTACTATTTATTTGTTGCTATCAGGTACATAATTTGTGTGTTTTCTTAGTTAATTGGTGTTGGTATTGTTTTTGTCCTCTTTATGGAAAAATCAAAATGAATATTCCCTCAATTGGACCTTTTTTATAAGAAAAATCCATAGCCCACTATTAAAATTCAATGTTTCAGTGATTTCAGAGCATTTTTGAAAATTTCATATACATACAATATGAATCATTTTGAAGAGAAAAAAATGAGGAATTTTATGAGCTTATAAAATACAGGGTGTTCCATTTAAAAAATCATAAGTTTGAGTCGTATCTCCAAAATCATACCCCGAAAAAAAATGAGTGCGCCACTGGATTCTACGTGGACTTTTATATGGGATGAGATTCAAATTTGACATTTTTGCAGAGAAATTTCGTAGATATAGAGGGGGTCCAAAAAGTATAAATTTTCAAAATCGCCCTGTATCTCATAAACGAAAACAGTTATGCAAAATCTGATAAGGCCATCTTGAGTTTCACAAAAAAGTGGCACACGACCGCGAAACCCGCAAGGTTCTATCTCCAAAGATAACTGAGATATCCCACAAAAGCATCGAAAACTGGACACACTGTACAGTCGTATTCAATAATAAAGCGTACAAGTATTAAAAAGAGAGGATTTCGGGATCCTAGTTCTAGTTGTGTAAAACTGGCTCAGCCAATGCTGTGTGTTTTCGAGAACCTATGACAACTTTACTGTCAACATTTGGTGAACAATCATTCCCGATAGCGCGTTTTATGCAGAATAGGATGACGTTAATTTCTCTCTATAATATACTTGTACACTTTTTTTTAAAAGCGACTGTAATTAACGTACCATATCTGACGCCTGCCGCGCTCGAGTAAATCCCGAAATCCTTAATGTAGTCGACTACTCAACACTTTTGTTTTTGACGTGTCGGACACTCGAAAATCAATGACAGTTATACTCTTATGAACTCTCAGAGAGTAGGTAGAGTAACCTTGAGGTAGACAATGAAAATGAGGAAGAAACTCACCTGAGTAATAATTTTCACAGTTTCACTTTTGCACACGACAATTGTTTCGCTAAATATTAACTTTTACGTAGTGTGTTATACACCGTGAAGAAGCTAATGTTTAGCGAAACAATTGTTACCATACCCACCCGGGTATTGTCTAAATATTTCATGTGATCGTCTAGTCTAGTATATCAAGTTTGAGACGTATCCAAATTCACTTCGATATCTCTCAAACAAGTTCCCACATTGTGTATCGTCTTTATAAGTTCGTGGATCCAGAGTTTTGTGAAGGTAGAAGAGAAATGAAAATCGAGTATAGTTCAAGAGTATTTATTGACCACGCATCTTTTTACAATGCAAATGTGCGATGTGAAGTTGAGTGAATCAGCAAACAGCTATCAACACCTCTTCACTGATCCAACCAGGAGTCAGTAGCAAAAGTTTATGTTGGTATCATCAACTTGCTTAGCAAAAGGACCGTCATTCGTCGAGATCAAAAATTAGAGTTGGAAGCAAGTATAGGGGATACATTCCCACAGTACCATCTAACAATTCGACCACTCATCGTCATCTATAAGCACTTCGGGTTAAGTAGATAAACTAGTCAAGGTTAAGCAACAGTGAAGTACAATATTACCCAAAAGATTCAATGTGAGGAATTTACTCTATTATATCTGTATTCAGCAATAGTAAAAATAGTAATAAATGATAGTAATACATGTACTAAATACAGTTATAAAAATAAGTCTAATCTAAAAGAGATCTGTAGAAGCAAAAAACAAAAGAGTGTCCATTTGGATGATTTGACCTAAACATGACCAAAACTATAGTACCTGAATTATATTGTATAAATTCATTGCAATAACTTTGATACAATTTGGGTATTTTTTTTTGTTATAGAAGAGTATAAACGCAAAGACTGGGAGATGATAAGATGTTATACTGGGATCTGGTTTTTCAACCCGTTGTTTCGGGCTAAGGTAGGTGGAGGCATCTTCTATGTTTTCCTATTATAGCGTTTTCAGAAGAGCAACTGACCCTACATTTTCGGGTTATTGCGATATAACTGCTAGCAGTCTAGATAGAGGTAGTAAGTCAGTGAGAAGAAACTACAAAATATTATTTCACAGGCGTCCTTGTCATTTCATCCAAATAAAGATAATAGTCTCATTCACACTGATCACATAGATCAAGAGTGCTTCATTTTATGAACATAAAATAAAAATTAACCCATTCCCAGTATTTTTATAAGAGAAAACATCACAAAACATACCTTTGGAATGATGTCATGTCGTCTATACTATTTATTTGTGGTTATTTCTCATTGTCAGTGTTGTTCAGAGTGTCTGTACTCTAAATATACAAATAAGTCAAAACGAAATAAGTGTCAAGACTGTCAAGTATATTAAGGAACTCTAATGGGGTGGGGTGTGGTTCATGCTCGGTTACCCCTACTCAAGAACAATTTATAATGTTTCGTCTCACCTACGATTCTATGTCGAAGTTCGCTTCCTGATAGTTTGAAAACATTTTCCTGATGACCGTTGTCCGGGTAGTAGTATGTTTCGATTTCCAAGGAAAATTTTTCCACAAATGGACACGTGTACCTCGTTTTCGTATAGGGGTAAGCATTCCAAGCTTCCTCCTCTACCATCAGGGCTGTTTTAGGGAGAATACCCTTTATCCATCCTACATAAAAAAATTATTGATCAGATTGATATCGAGAAAATTAAAATAATAATTCAATATTGTGAGCAAATTCATCACAAAGTAGGTATCCAAATAATTGGGAGTATGAATTCACGAACAAACCACAGACAATAGAAAGAGATTGCCTATGAAAAACAGGTCATATGCGACATGTTCATTGCGATCGACTGTACAGGGTGGGCCAAATTGGTCACTTTTAAAGGAAAAGTCCTATTCCCCAATCAGGTAGAAGAAAACTGATGTCGGTGCCTGAGGGTCGATTCTCATATCGATATCTGTCTTCGTTTCAGAGTTACAAGGTGTTAATCGAAAATGGTCATTTTTCAAAAGTGGCTACAAATATTTTTTTAGAAAAAATTGTATGTTGTATGTATGAAAATGACTGAGAAGCATTGAGTTTGTGATAACAACCATTCCTGAGGCACAGGAATCGGTCTTCCTATATCTTCTTCAAGAATATATAACTTGTTCTTCTTGAATGAAAAATTCTATTTTGAAACGAGGCATATGGTGACTGATTTCAGTGCCTGAGGATCAATTTTCATGACAAACACAATGCTTTGGAAATGTTTTTATGAAAACGAAGAATTATTGACAAAAAAAAATTAGTTTCAGCCACTTTTCAAACATTCATATTTTCGAAAAACACCTTGTAACTGATATGAACAGGCAGCTACATCAGTTCTTTTCTATCTAGTACGGGAATAGGACTTTCCTTCTAAAAGTGTCCAATTTGGCACACCCTGTACAGTTTTCATGACGATAGAAAGAGGATCTATAAAGTAACTAATAATTGACTATTTTATAAAAATAATTGAAACGTAAATATCTAAAAATATTGTACTTTATGGTCGGTATCTTGTTATTTACCTGGTAAATGACTTCCTACATGGTAAATTTTCCTGGTATATTGTCCATGTCCGCCAGGCCCATCATTGTAGGGTTCGTTGATCAAAATTTCAACACCGCTACCTGCCCCACTGCTCTCCTCTCGACTTTTTTTCTAACAAAATAAACAGTAATTCAATACAAACGCGGGAAATTTCATTGTTCATCCTTACTTTTGTGCAAAAAGCATCATACATTAAACATTCATGAATATCATTGAATCTATAAAGGTTTATTACAAACAATTAAAAATAGATAATCAACATAAACAAGTAAGAATTTCTCTAATAAACATTATACAACTTCACGTTTATTATTGAAGAAAATAATAAATCATCTAAAAATAGAAGTTTTGACGTCAAATCTCCTGCAAGAGTTCGTGTTTTATTAACAAGAGCGCTTTCTTGATCCGGGATCTGGAAAATTTTAATTACTCTGTATTCTCACCGCTATCATGTATAGCTGAGCTATCCGGTATTCTTCCACCGTGAGGGGTAGAGGAATACGGTATTCCTTGATGAGCATGGCTGACCAGGACTCTGCTTTTGTTCTATATAATCAGAAACCGACTCCAAGTAATCCACATTTTCGCTTCTACAACAAAATAAATATAATAATAATAATAATAATTAACGTCTTTATAATAATACCAATAATTATTGGGAGTAAAAGGCGAAGTTCAGTTTAGGTGGGGATAACAAGTCACCACATAAACTGTTCTTCCACTTAACCTTGGATCGTCTCTTTGCCTCATAATATCGAAAATACATGTTATTTTTATGAAGCATTAAAATGTATTGCTATATATGAATGTGAAAAGATTAGTATCAGTTCGTTTAAATTTGGTGAGAGGAGGGAAATTCATGCAGATAATCACTATTAGATTTATTTTAAAATCTATCTTCTACACTGGAGCTGGAACAGATATTGCTTATAGCTCTTTTTAAATTTCAATAGACTTCCATCTTTAATCACCTGAGGGATAGAGTTATATACTTACATATCTCGTGAGAAGTGTCAGAGAACGAAAACAGAAAAAGTTAATAGCAGAGTTTGGTGGCGGGTCTGGTGCAGGAGTACATGAAGGAGGAACAGGGAAAGGAATCTCAGTACCTCTTGGCAAATACGCTTCAGTGTTCCAGGCCGAAGTGTTTGCAATTCTGACGTGTGTCCAAGAAAATTTCGGCAGAAGTGGACGTGGACCAGTCACCATATGCTCGGACAGCAAAGCTGCTATTATGGCCTGGAGATCCAATAGGATCACAACTAAATTGGTGTCCGAGTGTAGAAGTGCCTTAGAAAATATGGCAAAACTAGTAAAGTCAGCCTCATGTGTTCCAGGACACTCTGGTATCCCGGGGAACGAGGAGGCAGACAGACTAGCCAAGATCGGTTCAGGAACGACACCCATTGGACCAGAACCGATATTGGGAATACCCAATAGTACGGCTATGTCCTTCATGAAGGAAATGCTACAGAGGCAGTTCCTTGAAACATGGCGGGACACACCAGGAATGAGACAATCAAAGCTCCATGTAAAGGAACCTTCAAAAAGGCTCACGAGAGAGATCCTGTCACTTAATAAAAGGGATCTCAAGATGGTAGTTGGGCTCTTTACTGGGCACAACCACCTCAACAGGCACCTAGAACTCATAGGGATCAAAGATGATTCCATCTGCAGATGGTGCTTGGAGGATGATGAAACATCATCACACATATTCACTGAATGCCCTGCGCTGGTGCATCAGAGGAAAGCTGCCTTTGGGAGCATTGTACTTCACCCAAAGGATTTGAAAGCGACTCAGCTGAGGATGCTGCTGAATTTCGTCAAAGAATTCGGCATGCCCAGCTGATTCACAGGACAAGTGGGCGCACAATGGGCCCGACTGAAGAGGCCTGAGTGCAGGGGTCTACGCACCCGTCCACCTGTGCAGAGAAGAAGAAGAAGAAGAAGAAGAAGAAGAAGAAATTAGCAGAAAGACTTTTCCATTCTCATGTTGAAAAAGGGAGCAGATTCATGTGTATATACAGGGTGTCAGGTAACCATGGATCATAACTTCATCTGGCGATATACAATTTAATAGATTCACAACCTTAGAAAACCACAAGTCGACTTGAGTAAACATCTCACTGATTTAGAGATATTTGGGACTCTTGTAAAAAAAAGTAATTCCAATTTTCATATTTCAAGCAAATATAATAAGGAGCGCTTCATCGTAGATAGCAGTAATTTACGGAATACAAAAAAAAAACTTTGAACAATGTTTCCTGCTAGAAAATCTGAAGAATCCGAATCGGTAGATACCAGACAGATACTAGACAGGTACTTTTTTTTGTAGGCCATAAATTACTGCTATTGAAAGTCTTTCTTATGCGATTGTTACAACTACTATTCAGTAATATTTACAGAGAATTAGAATTGACATGAAACGCTCCTCATTTGTTTAAAACATGGAAATTGGAATTAATTGTTTTTTTTTTGTAAAACTTCTAATACCTCGTTTTTTTTTTTCACCATAATTTAAAGGTTACACAGTGTATATTGTTTCTTCTCACTTCACTCGTGCTTTTCGTATTCACGGGGTAAACAATATACAGAGTCATTCATAAAGTTCGCATCATTTGGGAAAAAAATTCAATAACCATTTATTTTGAAATTCGAATTACCTAAGTGTCAAGATTTGCTTTGAAAAATATGAAAAATGAAACACTCGATCGGGGTCACGTGACTTTCGCTACATGTCAGGTTGAATTTTTGTCAAATTGATCGCTGAAAATAGGCTCATTAGTTTGAATATCAAAAAAGTTTGCCGAGAAAAGTTATTTCTATTCCAATTTTACATGTGTCACAAATTCGACCGTTTTAGTTTTTGATATTTTTTTTTCAATTTCTACGAAATTTCTGTAATATAAAAAATATCACCGACGAAACTATTTCTCTCTATTAGCTTTGTCATGCTACTAACTTTCAATCACTAATTATCGACAGAAATATATCATTCTTCAGAAAAAAATAATCCCGCTTCAAATTTCTGTTATGTTGGATGCAACATTGATGTACCGTCCTTCCATTCAGGATCGAAAATTATTCAGATGTATTTTTTTCAGTACTAAAATGATGCCAGTCATCTATCAAAATATCCTCAAACTACTTTACGTATCCAACCAAAGTTAAGGACAGTTTTGCCGAAGTTACAATTAGAAGAAATAAAAAATATCAATGAGAACTAAAAGTTGAAAAAATTCAACTTTTGAGAGGTATTCACGTGACCCAGACCGAGAAGTCCATTTTTCATATTTTTTAATCAAAAATTGACGCCCAAATCGAATTTCTAATAAAATGATAAATAAAAGGTTTTTCATATCATGCCGACTTTACGAATGATACTGTAGACCAGTTAATAAGTAAATCTAATTATACAATTCACTGTCATGTTCTAGAAACACCATTCAACTCTGAAAAGCGGTATAAACATCGTATTAGGTAGCTACTTGGCTATAGGCCAAACAATAGCCAATAATTGTATTATGTTTTCAACATCTAGTCTAACTATCTAGATACATAATGGCGAAATTATGGTGCATATAGTCAAGTTGTTTGAAAGTTAAAACGTTAATTATCATTGTTTAGTTCAAATGTTCAAAGTACAGGAAAACCTGCTCATTCTACAATTTAATGTCTTATATAATATAACAAAAATGGACTTTGATTTCAATCACCAACATTTATAGATGAGTAAATATCAACCTACAAACTGCTGTTTTTATACGAGAATTCAAATCATGTGTAATATACAGAGTGTATCTAAATAACGCCGAAAAAATTCAAGGGGTGATTCCTCATGAAGTTCATATAAATATGTGTCATAACTTGGTCCGTTTTTGAGATACAGGATGTTGAAGTTGGAAGTATTAATTGTTTTTATTTATAACCCCCCTGTATAAGCTTTCATTGTGCCAAAATTCAGTATGGATGGAAACTGAGAAAGCCCCAAAATTTCGAAATGATTTTAATTGGGGTTATTGAGTAATCTCAATGGAAGTCTTGAAAACACCTACATTGAAATTTTGGAGTCAAATCGAATTTTAATTGTTTCCTCAAAAACGAACCTAGATACAAAAATCACACAAGGAATAAAAAAGTTGTTATTTCAATAGTTCAATCGGATAAAAATATTGAACTTAGAAAAACCGGTGGCGTACAATGACATTCAACATGAATATCGATAAATTTACCCACTGTGACGCCACTGGAAACATTATTTCGAATCTAATTGCACCAGAAGAAGCTCCATATTACTATTAACAAAACCACAACGTTTTATTGAAATTGATGAAAAGGCAATTGAGTAATGAATAAAAAAACGATCTTTCATGGAAATATTAATACCCTGTATCTCGAAAACGAAGCAAGTTAGGACACATGTTCGTATGAACTTCATTTCTTTATTATCACAAGGAATCACCCCGTGAATTTTTTCGGTGTCATTTAGATACACCCTGTATATCAAAAAAAGCGGAAAATCGAAAATCAACCTATGACATTCAATTACTATGAAACATAATATATAGGATAAAATGATTGAATAATAAATGAACTCGTTATTTTGCACCTATCAAAGTAATCCATTATTATACCTATTAAATTTCATTCAATTGGGTACCTAAACTTACTGCTGTCTATTTTTATTTCTCGCGTGTTTAGTTACCTTGTTAGTTTCCTCCCTTGGGGGCTGAAACACTCCCCGTAAATTAATTTGTTATAGTATATAACACAGATTTTTAGATATTACGTTCCCAGGGTCTACTTCTAAGGGGTTATCAGTAAAAAATGTCACACAAAATTTATTTTCATTTTCAACACTTAAGAAAAGTTGTATTATAGAAAGAATAATATGCGAATATATGACTATGAAAGTGATGGAAACTCCAAAACCTTTTATGGATTCGAACGATCATTATATAATTCGATTAACCCAAATATGATGTTTCCTAGATATATCAGTTAAGAACTGGCACTGCTGATATTGCTGATTCTTCTCAATATAACCACCATTGACTTTGTTATACAAATTGATCCTCAGTCTAGTTTCAAAATGGAAATTACCCTTAAAAAGTGCCCAACTTGAGCCCGAGCTTCAGCCACCCTGTACCTAGTATATCGACATATTTTTACATTACAGGTGGTTGAGAAAAACAATCAAACGCGAAACTGTAACAATAATTATGATAGTTACAATAAAGAATTGCTAATTATTCCAAATTGTTCAGAACATTATACACCATTCCTATAAATAATAAAAGTATAGTCAAGTATAGTAGTATAGTAAAACATGCATTAAAATATAACGAAATTAAAATTGCCGGTAATATTTACGTTTTCTCTGTTTCCCAAAACCACAAACAAGATCTTGCGTGAAGCCTAAAACACAGTGAAAGTATAATAATTAATCTATTACCGGCCACCACCTTTATCATACCACCGAAAAACACAGAAATAACCGCATACCTACAACGAAAAACCAACTAATTGGAACCGTTGTTCAAAAATAGAAATTTCCATTCAAAAGCATCCAACTTGAGCCACTCTGTAC